TGATATTTAAGAGGAATTGGATGTCCTTTGGCTAGGGAAACCTTACTGTTTCTTTTGAAGCCATTCCACAGCCATCAGTGAATTCTGAGCATGCAAAGGCCCTCAGTTGGCCCAACTACCTCCCCAGCTTCATATTTCCTAGCCATCTTATCCTTTAGCACCAAAATATTTCCTGCTTCCCACGTGTCTCAGCCTTTGTAGATGCTCTTCCTGATGCCTGGATGCTCCCCCATACTAGCAATCCGCAAATCAGACTTAAAATCACAACTAAAAAGTCCTATGTTTGTATGAGTTCTCCCTTGAAACAACAGAATCCTTAAGGGAAGGCAGTATGTCACATTCAGGTCTGGGCCACTGAGAAGCTTACAGTGTGGTGTGTGATACAGATAACTGCAATAATAAAACATAGTGCCTAAACCATAATGGGCACTCAAAATTTGTTGCATGGATGAATGCTGGGTTTTTAAAATGAAGAAGTCAATAAAGACGTTTAGAACAACATGTCAGAGAACCTCTTCGAACAGTTCAGAAATACTTGTATTCCTATAGTGAGAGATAGTATAGTGTAGTGGACTGAGTGTGGGCTTTGGAGCTAGGCTGAGTTCAAGTCTCAGCTCTGCCACTAGCAGTGTAAGTAAGGGTAAGTCATTAACATAATATGCCTTAGTTATTACACTTCCACAGCATAGGTAATAGAGGTGCCCTCCTCAACAGAGGGCATAAATGGGTTATAACATGTAAAATGCTTAGAATAGTGTCCAGCACCTAGTAAGTGCTCAACAAATGTTAGCTAGTATAATTTTTACAATGTAAAAGGTGCAAAGTTGGTTTTGCAATCAAGAAACCAATGACCAACCTGGGAGAAACAATAGGAATCTATGAAAGATGTAACATAAAGGAAAAAATTAGGTAAATGTCAAAATGTTAAGTACTAATGAAATAAACAATTTCCCTGGATGACTATTTTAATAAAACTATACTCATCTGTATGTTAAGGTTCAGGTGTATTTATAAAAAAGGGCAGCTACAATACTATTAATAGATTGAGTTATATGAAACTGTCTTTATAGGTCAAAGACATATTAACATTTTTATATGGTTCAACTTAACACTTTCTAGTTCATCTTGCTCATGAGAAGATCTCTCTCTCTTTATGAGAGAGAGAAAGAGGGTTAGATTTCCTGTGCAACAGCAGAAAATAAAGGAATTCTCCTCCAAAGCATCTTAGGAAGACATCTAATTCAACTTCATGGAACTATAAAATAAAATTAAATGTCTAGATAAGAATCTTAAATATCTGAAGAGATAACTAGGAATGTTCATGTATTTTAATGAATTCAGAAAAACCTTGATTGCCTGTCTTCTTCTTGTATAAAATTATAGGTATTATAGGTATTGCCTGTGGCCAAAAAAAATCCCAAAAGCCAATGATAGCCTTATTCCTCTGAATTTAGGCCCACAGTAAAAATATTAAACTCATACTTACCAGATTGTGTTTTTCTAAATAAATGTATTTTAGAGACATCAACTTGCAAAGGAGCACAACAAACTTAATGTTACTCAAATTTTTCTTTAATAAAGTAAAATCAAAGGAATTATTTAACAATTTTGCACAACTACACTTAACTGACAAAGATGATCTATCTATTTAGGAATCTTAAGGGTAGCAAAGATGTATGCTAGGAGGGTACCACCATGAGAAAAGACAAATACATTCTGTCACTAGAAAATGCTTCAAGACAAAAATATTAATTCAATAAGAAAATATTTCATATATCTTTTATCACAGCAACTGTTAATTTAATTAACACATTTCTGTATTAAGTTACGTGGCATACATTCCTTTTTCTGGTTACTCATGCAAAAAGTTAGAAAGTTTTCTCAAAACAGAGCAAGTCAGTGCTAACAGTTTCAAGTCAGTGCTGGGAGCCAGCCTAGAAGAGCATGCTTAGAAGCCATTTACACTTACCGGCACCCCAGCCTGACGCTCTCCCCCATCTCCCCAAAAAGGTTCAGTTAATTTCTGTTACTAGTGAATGATCCCTTATACTTATTCAACAGACATATAAATGACTACAAATGTACCTATAAATTAATAACATATCATTCAATGCGGAGGAGAGCAGCTGGAGCCTAATGACACCCTGGTGGTCTCTTGGTGCTGTTTTTAGAAAACAGAAAAAACACACCTCATTCCAACTAATACATAAAAATAATACTTCAACAAAAAGTGTTTCTCCTCCTGTATGCTTTCTCTAAAATGTTGTGTGAGTGACTCGGAGTTAAATAAAATTAGGATAGAAGAATTAATGAGTACATCTTAAAAAAGACAAGAAGTATAAGGGCTGTCTCTCATAATCCTAACCACATTATCTCATGAATCATTTCCAGAACATAAAAATACAATAAATACTATAATGGAAATATAGGGATTCATTTATTACTTTTTGGTTTACAAACAAAGGCACCCAATAAT